CCCACACCCACACACCCATACCCTTGTTTGTTGCTATGGTATTTTATAGTCAAGAGCTTGTCGTATTAAATAGCTATACAGACATATAGACGAATTTAATTCATATTGTGTAGTTTTAATACACGACTCAAAATAGAAAGTTTTTGATTTTTTTCCATTACCTTTTACTTTTCAATATCAACTAGTATATACATGTGCTCGGATGTAATTTTGTGTGACAGATTCACTGTGCACAAATCAATCAATCAAATCATGTCATGTACAGCCTGCGCATCTTGTATGAATACCTTTGCGATATTGTATAGCAAAAAACAAATTAAAAAGAACGAAATAACCGAGCAAATGAGAATAGAATAAAAATGTATAAAGTTGGCCTGCTACATATGTAAATAATAATCATTCGAAAAAAAAGTGTTACACATTACAAAATAAAATCAGCAGCGATTTGATAACAATTTTACTTTTATACTAGATTTTACGGTTTTTGTTGTGGTGAGTAACTTGTCATAATAGTGTTGAAAATAGAAACAAGCTTATTAAATAACACGATTTTTTGATAATGCATAATTAGTTTGTTTGGTTTTTTTTGTCTATGCGATACACCATATTCAGTTAATCAAGAAACGAACTTAAAACTAGCAGCATTGTAAATCTTTATGTCGGTGAGGATAAAGGTGAAAAGTTTTGCTTCTTTTGACGCCGTCTCAAAACTAACCTAAAATGCTTCGAAGTACACAGCAAGCTATAAGGAAGCGAATGCGGATGCGAGTGTCGATCTTCTGTACCACACATCCAACTTTCGTAATTAGACTGTAAAGACAGAATATAGACCATGTTCTGTCTTTGTGATAATAATGTCGAAACTATGATTAGGATTTCTGCTAAAAACGGTCAAAACTATCAACATATCGTTTCCAGATTTTAGAATTTACGGAAACCAACATGGAACTTATTGAAAAATCTACCGAATTCAGTTCTTTTGATATGATATAGACAAAACCAATCATTCATCCTCTATCTGAAATAAAAAGGGTGCTGGTGTGGGTGTGGGTGTGTGGGTGTCGGTGTCGGTATTACTGAAGAGAAGATCCGCACGCATACCCACACCCACACCCACCCCTTAATTGAAAAATTGAGTTCCATGCATGAAAACTCAATCGATTAAAACCGATTAAACCCAAATTAAGTTTCCTATCGATGACTGTGATTCCGACGAAAACGAATCGATTTGAAAGAATTAAAATAAAATAATCGCTTAAAATAGATTATATTTTTAATCCATTTTAGAAATTTTCCTCGAACGAACTCATTTTAATCGATTATAAGTCGAGGAAATATATCAAAATCGATTGTTTTTTAAACTAAATCATAAATAATCGATTTTGCGTAATTATTGTACGAAAACTCTTTTCTAACCATGTTTTTGACCCTTCTTTTACACAGGTAGCTGTCACTAAGCTAAACGCTTGGCCAATGTAATATAGCTGGAACTCCTATAAAATTGCTTGAAAGAATACTTTCGCAATTACATGAGGAATAAATGAAAATCAGTTAAAATTGATTAGATTGTAAGCTCATTTTTGAGATTCTCATAGAATGAAAAAAATTAATTTTAATGAATTATAATGTAGAAATCAATTTTAATTGATTAAAAGAGAATAATAGATTAAAATCGATCAAATTTTCAATCCATTTCAAAGATTTTTCTAGAAAAAATCGCACTTAATTGATCATAAGGAAAAGATCAATTTTAACCGATTAAAAGAAAATAATCGATGAAAGCGGATTATATTTTGAATCTATTTTAGATATTTTCCGGGAAAAAAATTGACTTTAATCCATTATAGTAAAAAAATCAATTGTAACTGATTAAAAGAGAATAATCGATCATATTTTTAATTAGTTTCAGAGACTTTTCTAGAAAAAAATCGATTGCAACTGATTGCAAGAAAAAAGTCCATCTTAACGGACTAAGAAAAGATAATGGATCATAATCGATAAAAGTTTTAATCCATTTCAGAGATTTTTCGAGAAAAAAAATCGATTTTTATTCATTACAAGGAAAAAATCAATTTTAACAGATTAAAGGAAGATAATGAATTATAATCGATTGAATTTTTGATCGATTTCAGATGTTTTCCTAGAAAGAAATGATTTTAATCGGTTAGAATAATAAAATTAATTTTAACGGATTAAAAATAGATAAACGATATAATCGGTTACATTTCTAATCTATTTTAATCGTTTATTAGCCAACAAAATCTATTAAAATGGATAATTTTGATAAATTTAATCAGAAATAATGAATTATTTGTGATTATTTTTTGAGAAATCTTTTTTAATTTGATTTTTTGCTCTTTTTTTTCTTACACGAGTCCATTAGCCAAAAGTACGACATACTCAAGTATCTCGTATATTTCTGTGCTTGATGACCTTCGTTCTCTTGCTTTCTATATTGCGTAAAAAGATGCGATAGCAAGGACGAGTAAAAGCAACTAGAACGCAATGAGAGAAAGAGAGAGAAAAGAGAATAAAAAAAAATGTTCTTTCCTCCGGAGCACTGTATATAAAGGCGAGTTCTATCACCAGTTTACATTTACATTCATTTCAACAATTGATGCAACTATTTGATGATGGATTAATCGGTGAAGAGAAGACCCTCATTTTTACATCGACGCACCCATCTGCCGGCATATGCTCACTGAAATTATCGACATGAAATTCTAGCAGGATGCTCGTTTGAACATCATTTCAGTGAACGGATGCCTGCTGTGATTTTTCTGTGTGAATGCATTTTTCGATCGCAATCAATCCTATTACTGGAGTGATGCTAGCCGGACGAGAACAATAAAAATCTGTATCAAGTTCTAATAATACATGCGAAATATATACAAGCACTTCTTTTCTTCTATTTTTGCTTTTGCGTTTCTCCAGTGCACCCTGAAGATTGCACGTGAATTCTGACGTATGCATGTTGACTCGGTTCTTTTAATCAATCTGAGCGAAGGACGAAAGAACGAATAAAAAAAGAAAGAAATAGAGCGTTCTATGCTCTCTCATTTTATACGTTCTTTTATTCTTTGATATAGAACAACGTTTATTTATTTTGTTATATAGAGCAATACAGTTTCAGTCATGTCGGACAAGCAACAACATGAAAATCATTGGGAGTCGCATAAATACACATCGACGACGACGCAAATTGGCAATCAGCCGTCGGTTACTATTGGCAGGAACATATCGGCCGGAGGCAACTTTGATGTAACGAAGACACTCTGTTCTTTCTTTTTTTATTTGAATCTATACATCTAGCCTTTTTAGCATGGCGAGCCCGTAGCAACTGAAGCGCATGCAATCATTTTCAGCGATCAGGGTCATGTCGGAACATTCGAATACAAAGAAAAAGCCATCGATAAACATCCAAATAGTATCAAATGAAAATGATCTCTCAAAGAAGTACAACAATGGGATTTCTCAATTTGAATATTCAAGCACTGTTTTTTCATGTATTTCTCTGATTCTTGTACATCACTAGATAAAATGAGAGTCGTTCCACGATATATTCATCTGTTTTTGAAAAGCACTCACAAGACAAGACAATGGCGGTTTGCTTTTATTTTTTTTTTTGGTGAAACCCAGTACAAACATCAGGTTTCCTGCGAACAGGAAAACAGTGACGTTAACAGATTGACTGTCAAAATATCGCATTCTCAGTGACTCATGTGCTTTGAGGTTCGCTGGGCGTATTTTTCAAGGATCCATTGTCAGATACATAACATTTCGATATTATCCTGCTTCAGCGAGGAGGAAAATACAGAACAGACCTCTTCGATTGTATTTGTGCTATGAAAATATGACATATCAGTTGATTTTGATAAATCTTCTGTAATCATAATTGGTTATTGCTACCAAAAGATAATAAAAAGGTCGAACTACTCGATGTGTAGAACAGCTAGGGTTTTAGTAATCTCTATACATTATCACTGTTTGAATCTCGTCGATTTTCTTTGTTGATGCTCGAGAGGCACTGTTTTGACTACTTTTCTCGTTTTTTTCACTGAAAAATTGATCCTGATCATCAACAATCATAAGCAAAAACGGTAGTGTCTCAAACGATTTCGCTCAGTTGCAACGCTCTTCTTCAGAATCACCATAGTCAGCATGTTCGCAATAAGAGTGTGGGTGCAGGTTTTCTTTTCAACTACGCCCACATCCACTCACATCTTCAATGTCAATCTAGACACGAAACAACGATTTATGTTTATAGAGCTCTTTGCAAAACCAATCGTGCACAAATGTAGGCTTTTTCTAGTGTTTTGATATTTTATGAAACAATTATAAGCTTCATTTTTTCGGTGTTCATTTATTTTCAGCTGGACTAAGAAATGATCTAATGAATATGTAGTTGTTTTTGTTTCGGTTATATAAAAATTAAGAAATATCATTTTCTTCTCTTTGACATAATTGTTTATCTATTGATATTAAATTAATGAAGCAGAACCGTGAGATCAACCAGCATTGCGAAGTGTGAAGCAAAAATTCACATAGAAACTCTCTACTCCTAATATCGACCAATTATAATCAATAAATTCCGCAGAGTACCGAACGAAAATTGATCAATGGTATGCTCTCAGTATTAACAGAAAAAAAAAGAAATCTTAATCGGGTAAATCCATGGGATTTCTACCACTTTTTGAAAGGAGAATATTCTGTACCAGTGTCCTTAAACAAACTTTTTTTTCGATTTTGATAGTCTAGTTAGACGGGTCATAGTTGAAAATGGTCTGAGGTAACAATTAAAACGTTTTTGGACGTATAAAGTATGGAGAATCACATCATGTTTTAGGAACACTCCACATGCATAAAGGGTATCTCATAATAACTATTGATAAATTCTTAATAATATTTTTCCTACTTTTTCTTGACATAGAGAGATGAAATTTTTATCACATATATATCTAATCAAGATCTTCTAGTTCTGAAAGTTATAGCTCTCTAGCTAAAGCTAGTGGCGAAGTACATCAATTTTCGTAGTCGATTTTTGTAGTAGTTTCACAGTAAAAATATGCAAAAATCAAGTACGAAACTTTATACATTTCAGTCTTATCGATGTATTTCACCACTTGTTTTAGCTAGAGAGCTGAAACTTTCAGAAACAAAAGATCTTAATTAGATATATATGAGATAAAAATTTCAGCTCTCTATGTCAAGAAAAAATATGCTTAACAATTTACTATGGGATACCCTGTATGTGTGTGAAGTGTTCCTAAAAACTAATGTGGTTCTCCACGCTTTATATGTCCAAAAACGTTTTATTTGTTACTTCAGACCGTTTTCGACTATGACCCGTCTAACTAGACTATTAAAATTGAAAAAAAAATTTTTCCAGAAAAGCGGTAGAAACCCCACGGATTCACCCAATCAACATATTCGTCGTCATAATCAGACACAACTTAAAGCCATAAATCAAAACTTATAGACAATCTAAAGAGAAGTCACATTCTTCAACAATCTATTTCTTTTGGTTTAATGACATTTTTCAAAAGTTAACATTTATAACATGATTACAACCTCAAATAGATCAGTAAGTTGATAGAAAATTAATCATTGATAATATATTTTAAATAATGTACCAATCCGCTTTAATAATCTGAAACTAAGAAAAACAGAAAATAATTAATCAGATGTAAAACATAAGGTTGCCAGTAGAAAATACAAGAAGAAACATCAAAGAATTCGAACGATTTTGAATGGATGAGTTTTAAACTATGGATATTAGTCTTGTTAAAAATTACCCATTATTTATGCAAGAATGATGTTCATTTTTCTTTCTGCCAAAAGTAAATGAAGGGTGTGGGTGTGTGGGTGTGG